TATCACATAAAATCTTTTACTGCCTCTAGTCATAGTATTTTTCAAATCACCCAAGTCACTATGAATTAATTGTAAAGGTTCACTCTCTCTAGAAATGGATTTACATGGTTTCTTAGTAGACTTAGTTTCGGCACATATTTCACACTTGTCTATAGTTGTTTCACATACATTAGGAATCAATCCCATTTCTTTCATTTTCTTTAAGTATCCAAAATTCACATTTCCAAGTCTACCATGCCACACATCAAGAGAGTCAACCAAGTAAGCACAAGAAGATGAAGCATTTTCATTAATAATTTCACTTACATTAAGCACATAAAGACCTTGGTCAAGATACCATTTACCAATAAAGATGTCATTTTTAGACAAAGTTATAATACCACCATCAAAGAGGATCTTGACTCCAGCCTTTCCAAGTAATTGAACCGACACAAGATTGTGCTTTATCATAGGAACATTTAGAACATCAAAAAGTAAAAGAGTATTGTCAGAAGTCAATTTAAGAAGTACTTTCCCTTTTTCCACAACCGGTATAGATCTATTATCACCCACGTATACACATTTGACACCTTCCTTGACACTAGTATATGATGCAAACGCATATCTATTGGCACAAATGTGCCTAGTGGCCCCGGAGTCTACTACCCAACCTTTTGCTCCCGTGACCAAGTTTACCTCACACACTACCGCCATAATGACATCATTGGTTTCCACCACATTAGCCTTTGGTTTAGGCTTGTTGTTGTTATCACCTTTTCGATATTTATGCATTGAGGCATAATGTCCCACTTTATGACAAACATAACATTCATCTTTTCTCTTTTGAATTTGAGGATTAGATACTTGAGATTTATTTTTATTATTATGATTGTGAGGTCTCCAATTCGATTTTTGGCCATGTTTCTTATTTTGTTGGTGTTGTGGGATTCTAGTTCGTTCATCATCTACCATATTAGCCTTGGACACCATTTCCTTGGCTTGGGTAGACTTTTGTCAAAGTCTATTTTTCTCCTCAATTTTAATGTGGACAATGGTCTCTTGAAATGTCATAACATATCTTTTTTGTCGAAATTTGAGTTTATATTCTCCCCAAGACTCGGATAATTTTTCTACAAGACATTAAGTCTTGAATCTTTCAGGTAATACATCACCCTCTTTGGCCAACCCATTTATTTTATTTTGAAACTCATAAATTTGTGATGTAATGGTTTTGTCCTCGACCATTAGGTAATGCAGGAAATTAATGGCCAAAAATTTCTTAGTACCTTCATCCTCAAATTCATATTTTGATATCAACTCATCCCATAAAAATTTAGCATTTTCAATGTGACTATACACATCAAATAGATCATTAGACAAAGCATTACGAATAGTACTCAAGCATAATTTATCGGCAAGATTCTAATTTTTTAAAGCTTGAACATAATTTTCGGTATCATTATCGGGTCTAAGTTCGGTTAGAAAAAATAATAATTTCAAAAAATTCAACACATCAAGAACCTTTTGTTTCCATCTACGAAAATTATTTCCATCAAAAGGTTCAATTTTTGATGCATCAAGTAAGATTTTTATTTGTGTAAGAAGTTGTGTATCCTTTGCAAAAATTAACCTTTAAGAATGTTGTAGAATTTAGTTAATAAAACAATAAAATGATGTAAGAAAAATAACTCTTGCACAATTAATTTCTTAAAACAAAGACAAATTTAGACCAAAAAATGATTTGCCTTAAAGTCACAATTTATGAGATATAAGTAAAGGAACGATTTCATCAAACTATAGATCAAGCCGAAACTTTGTTCTTAAAGGTTGATTTGCGCCCCTCGAAGTTGATGACTTGGTATGATAGGTTCTTGGCACGGCAACCTCCTAGGATTTTTATAGATTCACCTCCACTAACACACACTTGTTGTGAAGAGTGTTTAACAACCCTTTGATAGCTTCTTGTGGAAGAACAACAAAATTTCTAAAGAGAATGTGAGATTTGAAGCAATGAAAGAGAGATGAGAAGCAAAACAATTGCAAGAGAACAAGAGAGCGAACTGAAGTCTATTGTAAGACCATAAAGGAAAAATGATGGCTTACTTTGTAAGCTATTCCAACGGTAAAAAGGACAAAGAAAGTGGGTCATGGGTTTGCAAAGACAAAAACTAAGTCAATGGTCTTAGAAATAATAAAGGGTCATTTGGAAGTCGGTACACCAAATTAGACATAACTGTAAAAAAGTACATAGAACAAAATATTTTAGAAAAAAGTACACACCTGAGATACAAAGACGTAAATGCCCATTTTATAAAATTTTATTTCCTAAAAACTGTAACAAGACATTTATCTTAAGCAATGAAATTTAGGTTCATTTAATTCAAAATCTCTAATGCACTTTAATTCATGCGTATTTTTTTTTTGGAAAGTGGTTTTGTTTTCACATTATATTTATGCATTAAATATCTCCTAGTTTTATGAAGAAATTTTAATATTTTGTTTATTTTAGGATATATACTTTGTTTGAATTTTAAAATTTATTAATATTTGAATTCTATAATAGTGTAACAAAAACGGTGTAACAATACACTATAACAAAGACAGTGTAACAATACACTGTAATAAAAATAGTGTTCAGTGATTTTGTGCCATGTGGTAACAAATTCAAAATAGAAATAGACTGTTTTGAATGAAATCATATGAAAATATATGTTTGACACAATGTAATAGTACAATATTTTGTGTAAATGTCTTGTTACATTATTATTGTTACATTGTTACTATTATACTGTTCTGGAGTTCGGATATTAATATAATTTGAAAACAAAATCACTTTTCAAAAAAAAAAAATACACATGAATCAAGGGAGGACATAAAAGTATGAAATATTATAGTTCTCTCATAAAATTAGGAGATGTTTAATGCACCACTTTCCACAAAAATACGCATGGATCAAGGGTGGATATAAAGGTCAGAAGAAAATATGGGAATTTCAAATAATATACTTGGACATAAATAAGTATCTTTTACCCTACATTTTTTTTTATGTGTATTTTTTTATAATTAACTCCAATTTGGTGCACCCCTTTCTAATTTTCCCAATAATAAAAAAGTATAGGCTTAATCACCTAATGTTTTGAAACATAATGAACTAAGCCCAACAGGGAGAAGGAAAGGAGTGGAGTTGTGGTGCAGTGGTTACTGGTGCCTTCCATCATGTTGGGTTGCTTGAGAAATGGGTGAGAGAAAAGGGTTAACAGTCAGATGAGAGGGAGTGAAATTTGGGAGGAGTACTTGACAAAGACAGAAATGAGTGGGATTTTGTTTTTGTATGGGATGCATTGTGGACTTTGGGATTAAATTGAAAAAATTGGGATGAAATCTAGAGCATTGAGTTAAAATTGCATTAAATCTGAACTGTCCTTATACTTTCTCAACTTTGGAGATTCAAAAACACATCTATCTTATTATTATAGATTATAGATAGATATAAATAGATATGAGAGAGAAAGAATTTAATGTTAGTAAAATTTCTAAACTTTAAAGTTTTTAGCTTTTAAATTTTTTTTAATTACATATAACTACCAGGAGTATTTTGAACAATGAAGATTGAAATAGACTTATTCTCAAACAAATTTTTTGAGTAAACTTATTCCCAAATAAGTCTTGAATAGTAGACTAACACTCAAATTTCTTTTTTTACTGAGACTCATTACCTATTCAATAGTTATGATTGATCAAGTCAATAAATCATGTCAATATTTTCAGTCCAAATAACATTTCTCTTATATTAATTCACTTGATATGTTAAGTGGAAGTTTTGAATAGGGTCATTTGGAAGCCGGTACACCAAATTAGAAATAATTGTAAAACAATACACATAATAAAATATTTTGAAAAAAAGTACACAGCTGAGATATAAAGACGTAAATGCTTATTTTGTAAAATTTTCTTTTCTAAAAACTGTGACAAGACATTTATGTTAAGCGCTGAAATTTAGGGTCATTTAATTCGAAATCTCTAATGCATCTTGATTCATGCGTATTTTTTTTTGGAAAATGATTTTGTTTTCAAATTATTTTTATGTATTAAATATCTCATAGTTTTATGAGAGAACTTTAATATTCCGTTCATTTTAGGATATATCACTTGGTTTGAATTTCAAAATTTGTTAATATCCGAACTCCATAATAGTGTAACAAAAATGGTTTAACAATACACTTTAACAAAAATAGTGTTAAGTGATTTTGTGCATGTGATAACAAATTCAAAATAGAGATGAACTTTTTTGAATGAAATTATATGAAAATATATGTTTTGACAAAATGTAATAGTATAATATTTTGTATAAATGTCTGGTTACACTGTTATGTAGTTCGAATATTAATATAATTTGAAAAAAAAATCACTTTCTAAAAAAAAAAAGCATGAATTAAGGGAGGATATAAAAATATGAAATATTAAAAGTTCTCCCATAAAATTAGGAGATGTTTAAATATCACTTTCTAAAAAAAAATACTCATAGATCAAGGGTGGATATAAAGTTAAAAAGAAAATATGAAAATTTTAAATAATGTACTTGAAAACAAATAAGTATCAAAATTAAGTACTTTTTTACCCTATATATATATTTTTTTTTGTATACTTTTTTACAATTAACTCCAATTTGATATATCCCTTAAAATTAGATCCACTGTTATTGCAGGCCGAAATGCGGATTGGGTGGCCCAATACAGGTTTTGTGCTGGGCTTTCATAATGTGAAGCGAGCCCAACACAAAACCCATTGCAGGCCCACCAATTGCCCATTCCGACGGCGGATCTCATCGACAAATCTCTGCCATTCAATTTGGTATGAGATGAGGATTGAGGTGGCCCACCGACAGAAGTCTATTGAGTTTTACCACAAAACCCCTCCTTTCGTGTACACCCAAGTCTCGCTCCTTTCAACTCAAGCAAAGAATTCTATCATCTCTTAGCTCTCCTCTCTCTCTCTCTCTCTCTCTCTGAATCTCTGTGGCCATGTCTCAGGTAATTCTTCACTTGCATACTTCAATATATTAATTTTTAGTTACTTTTTTTTGAATCATATCATTTTCATGTTTGAGTCATGCCTCGTAACTGATTGTAGTTCCGATCCATCTCTCTCTCTCTCTCTCTCTCTCTCTCTATTATCCTACTAGGTTATGGGTTTATGGTGGTTGAGTTGATGCTCTGAACACGGATGTATATGTAAATAAAATAAAAAATTAAAGTTTTGATGTGATAGAATAAGCTGATTTTGTGCATCTGATTAATTAACCACGTAATTTTTGTGTTTGTGGTGTGTAGGTGGACAATAAAGATGCTTTGGCATCCAAAGGTATGAATTTCTCTATTCTGCTTACTCACTGATTGTTTGTGAGTACTGCTTATATGTGTGTGTGTTTTCGATTTGATGCATATGTGAAGTATTTTGTGGCCGTATAGATATGGTTATTAGTGCAATTGGAGTTATAGCCACATGACAAAGAAGGGTATTGCTTGAATTGGTTTTATTGTTTCTTTTTTAACAAGAACAAGAAATATGCATACTAGAGAGTGGGGAAGGATTTGTGGACTGATTGGGTTTATATGATTATGAGCATTGAATGAGAATTTGGGTTGATGTATTTACAAGCTAACTGATTCTGATGGACCATGTTTCTGTGCTAATATTGGTCTGGCCTTGTCATCTGTTTATGTGTCCTTATTACAGTTTGTATCTGTCTGAAAAGTAATTCAAGGTTTGATTTTTAATTTTCCCGCTACCAAAGGCCTTTGTATTGAGTAGAAAAGAAAATGTTTTTCCTTTTTTCCCCCCTCATTTAATGAGCAAATGGAAAAGTAAAACTCTGTGTGGGTAACTGTTATTTAAAAGTGATTTTCAGTATTAAGATGCAGGTAATCTTCTGTATTCTACGTGGCGGTCCTAACTATGCCTATCATACTCACATATGCAATCATATCTTGTGAACCATACAATTCACATAGACAACCCTGATGATACAAGTGTCCAATGGTATCATAATCTTTCAAATCCTGAATAATGGAGGCAAATCAAGCAGATACTCATCTTATATTCGGTGAATCTCTTTTGGAAATAACACATGCATATGCTTCCATGGTGGAAATTGCTAAAGAATAGCCTCAAGAAATTGACTGTCTTTGCCCTCCATTATCACGTGGAACCCGTCAACCAATGTGGGGCACTAAATGCAGCAAATCCACTGTGTGGAGATTGTTGATGGAAAAGGAGTCGACATCAACTCAGCCAATATACTTGTTCATGGAAAATGCCTCTGTTCGGTCATATCTTCTTTACTAGTGATGTCACTTCGATAGCAATCACTGATCACCTCAAATACTCCATATTTCAAATGTCAATTTCTGAGAAATCATTTTGTTGCATGTATCATGGGGGAAATATTTCATGTTTGAAACACACAGATGATGGTACCAATGAAGAAATGTGAACTTGTGTTGATAGCGCTGTTGTCCTTAGTCAGACACTTTCCCAACTTCTTTTGTGGATTGTACAGAAAATGATACAAGGCCCCTGTTTATATCAATACTATAACCCTAGTTGGAATTCTCAGCCTGGTTATCCTACCTCTCTAGCTTATATGTCTCTGTTTTGACCAACTATTAGCCCTCAATCCTTCCTCTGATTTTCATAGTAACTGGGCTCTGTCACAACACATTATGGTCTTACTCGTAATTGCTTGCACCACCATCATCTATCCAGCTCAGTGGCTCTTTTAAAGATTTCTTCCCTTCAAGGTTGGGATAATGCAAGGCAACACTAATCTTCGCAACATGGCTATAACTTAACCCATTCACTTCCTTGGTGTTCTTTGTGATGGTTACAGTCCTTGTGCTTCCCATCTGTTCCCTAATATGAACGGACAACTGTTATTGCTCTAAACATACACTGGTAAGGTCTATAATCTCTATGGATCCGTATTATAAACCCCTCTAAAAAGACACTTGTAGAGACATAGTCATACAAAATAACACATCCATCTTAAGTCTTAACTCTTCTAGGCTCACTGAGAGAAGTTTGATTAAGCCTTTATCCTTCTTGATGAGTCTAAAGTCCATTCCCTTCTGACAAATTCCTTCTACTACATCAATGCTTTTCCACCTTTTTGCAAGATCAAAACTTTGGATCTTTCATTTCCCTACTTATGAATAGATCCGTAAGAATGACACCAATAGGTAATATTCCAGTAACTTGAATCTCTCTCTCTCTCTCTCTCTCTCTCTCCATGTTTGTGTACATGTGCATATTACTGCTCTTCTCATTTTTATTGTGGGCATAGTCATTTTTATCTTGCTAGATTCAGTTTTGATGCCTAACCACACTAATAATGCAATGGAAGGGTACACAAAATTTGTCTGTTGGCTTCCAACTTGAGAAATGACATAGAGTGGATAACATGTAGACATCCCCAAAAAAGTATGCTGAGCCAAAATGCAAAACAAATTGTGCAATAATATACCACCCTTAGCAATTTCATGGTACACTCCAACCTTAATTCTTGTAGTGAAGGGCAAACAGCAGACATCAAGAAGGGTAGATCATGCCAAACTTTTGGCAAAAGCATCAGCCAATGGAGGCACTGATTTAGGAGTGATCTCTCCATTAAACTGCCAAAGATATCTAATCCCTTGAAGAGAGTTACCTCTAAGATGATCTGAGATGCTAGGGAATCTATTCCTAACTTGTAGACCTTGACGAAGTAGTATGCAGCTTACACAATATCCTCAACTTATCAAATCTACAATAGAAGTACAATGAAAATGTATGATGACCAATCAATGGTGAATGAAAATGAATTGGATGAAGCTCCCAAGTGAAGATTAGATTACAGATTAAGAATATAGGATAACTTTATTTTTTCAAACTAGACTGTAGATGCTAGCAAGCAAAGATACAATGGTCGAATAAATGTTATGATCATTATTGGGTGAAGGTGGGCACTATGTCTCTCTCCTGCAACTGTTGCCATTTGTGTTGGGGGTTGGCTGATCACATGCATATTAAGAACTCCAATTCTTGCTTTTAGAATTTCCTTCATTGCCTTAATGTATTTGTAATAGCTGTTTAAGTGGTATGACCAATTGAATAGAGCACTAGAAATCTTTTGTCTTGAATGTTCTTCGCCTTGAAATAGTTGCTTGGCTCGTTTATGGTGTTATGTAGATTGTTAGTCTTTCTGTGCTACTGCTAGTTCTTTGCACATGATATTGGCGAATGTAGACATTTTATTAAAGCCTGTATTTCAGTTCTTTGGGGTGGGCCTTGATTGGGAGTTATTTGCTGATGCCTTTTTTGAGCTTGATTTTTATAAATTTTTTGAGATTGTGGATGAATTATTCGTATGTTTGACAAATTCTTAAATCTCACATATATTTGTCCTTCTTACAGAGGAAAAGGCTGGTATAACAGAGAAAAATAATGCCTCTGAATCAGTGTCTGAAGCAACCTCTGCGGAGACACAATCAGGACAAAGAAGAGCAACCTCAACACCCGGAGCTGGGATTGCAAATCCCTTTGATTTCTCAGCCATGGCTGGTCTACTTAATGTAGTTGAACTTTTTATGCCTCTGTTTGTGATGTAGATGCATATATGGTCATTTGAGGCTGCATTGGCTAGGATCCTTAATCAAACATTTTTGGCACATTGTTGAGAATCTCTCTGATCGACCACTATACCTTTTTTCTGATAAACTGGCTTCATTTTTTTTTCCTGCTAAATTTCGCAAAAGATTCTAATTATGTGAAAATTGAAGAGATAAATAAGAGAGAAATCTCTAATTTCTGATTTTAATTGAGGGAAGAAAAAAATTTTCTGCAGCATTTTTTTCAAACATTTAAGTTAACTATTTTAGCATCATGTGGGTGTATTGGATATGGAGATGTAGGTAAAAAGTGGAGTTGGTTGAAGACCTTGAACTTGGTCCATACCCCACCAAACAAAATTCTCAACAATTATGTTGTTACTAAAAAGATTCTGCAAACCTTCATTAAAAAAAAAAAAAAAAGATTAGAAAAATCTAGTCTCCTTGGTCTTTTCCTTCAATATATAAGGACACAATTTTGGCATTTACTTGTCACAGTATTTAACTAAATAGTCCTGGCTAAATATTTCTCCCCCCATCTCTTTCAACCTCCAGTAACTATATGGAAAAACTCATGGTTGTGTTCTAGCTGCATAAATCTCAAAATTATTTTGTTTCAATGTTTTCTTCAAGTTCAATTGTGGTCCCTAGATATTGCATTCTATGACTGTAAGAGTCAAAATTTAACTGAAGTTGGCTAACAGCGTGAATATATCGAAGGGAATATTAATTTTTAAGCATCACCAGCCCTATCTGAACATTATTTCTGTTCGTACATACTACATGTTGCCTTAGCTTATCCTGTATACTTGAATGCAATCGATTGCTCTCGTTCATTGTTGCTTTTATGATGGTACAAATAGGATCCAAGCATTAAGGAGTTAGCAGAACAGATAGCAAAAGATCCTTCATTTAACCAGATGGCAGAGCAGCTCCAGAAGACTTTTCATGGTGCTTCAGCTGAAGAGGCTATCCCTCAGTTTGATACGCAACAGTATTATTCCACCATGCAACAGGTTATGCAAAATCCTCAATTCATGACCATGGCTGAGCGTCTCGGTAATGCGTTAATGACGGTAATCCCAAAATATAACCTTGTTTAAGCTTCTGGCCTATTCTTGTTTTACATAAAAATTTGGCACTTGGTAGATGGTTTTTTTGTTCGAGCATATTTTCAGGAGCCATCCATGGCCCAAATGCTTGAAAATTTCGCTCATACGGCAAGTAAAGACCAGATTGAAGAACGTATGGCACGCATTAAAGAAGATCCAGCTTTGAAACCTATCTTGGCTGAGATAGAGACCGGAGGTCCAGCTGCAATGATGAGGTTGTAACTTGTTCTTGATTGCCTCTCCCCCTCTCTCTCTGTCTCTCTATATATATATAGTGCCTTGACATAATTTTTTATTTAATGGAGGGTCAATTTAATGAGCTTTTATTTATCTGAAATTTTTAATTGTATAACTCCAATTAAAATGAACTTTTGCATGATACATTGTAGTGTTTTTTGTTTTCATAAAATTGAGCAAATTAATTCAAACTCATCAAATTTAATGTAGAAAATCTCACACAATTCATCAAACGATCAACAATTTTAGCTCAATTTTATCACATAATCACTTGAGGAAAACTACATTTATTGTGCCTATGATGGTATATTAGTCCAAACAAGCGCCATAAAAAGTGTGTAGATCTCTCAAATGCATATTTATATGACTTTAGACCCCATTTATGTAGGGTTTGGAAACCATATTTTGATTTTTTAAATTATGATCCTGATTTCACTTTACTGATTGACACTTCGCAGTAATTATGACCCCATTTATGCAGATTTGAACACTTCGCAACATTAGGCACGAGGCTATTGTTAGTGTGTGTATATATATATATGTAGCCCTGTAAAATTATATTATTCTCTACATGGTCTCCGGTGTTAGACAACTCAACCAACCTCTATTAGTCCACACCAACTTCTCTCTTATTTTTTCTCGGTTTACTTTAATTTTAGATTGCGTAATTGAAGAAAAGGAAAGGAAAACTAGATTGCTATTTATAATATAAATATTGTACGATCAATGTTCGATTTTTGGTATTGCAAAGTATCTACAAGCACGGGGTTATTGTTATTTCATATATATATATATATATGTAGCCTTGTAAAAGTATTAATATTGTATGATATAGGGTGTTAAATTTGTGTTCACTCTGAGTTATTGCAAATCATAAATATCTTTGGGCATTCTGTTCTAGAACTCACATTTCAAATTGCATTACACTTTAACAAAGTCCCATTAACTTGTAACTTACATATGAATTCTAGCATATGTCTTTAGTTTATTTTGGCACATTTTAAGAACAATGTAATATTAATTGGGTTTGTTCTGTTTTATTGCTATACTATTAATATATACTATGTCAGGCCATTTTTGGCATTGTTTCACTTCCTCTATGAACAAATTGTTCCTTTAAAAATAAAGTTTGTATGTCACTTCAAATGATTAAGGCTACTCAAGGTTAGTTTCTATAGTGAAATAACTTGTCCACTCATTGCCAATTAGTTTTGAGTTAAATGCTCTACCATACTATCAGAATGCATATTTGTTGTTCACGTGCGAGTTCGGGTCTCACGTGAGGGAGAGTATAAAGAAAGTTTGTATCTTACATTGAATGATTAGGATCACTCAAGGTTGGTTTAAAGTGAATGACCCTCTCCACTCATTGCCAATTGGTTTTTGAGTTAGATGCTCTAACAATTCCCAAAGGTTACTAGGTTTACTAGGTAAAATAAAACTCGGGCAAACATAAAAGTGGGATAACCAAGACTTGTATATGATTTTGGACAGCAAGGTTCCTCCCCCTTCCTCAATTGGTGAGCTTCTTGTATTTTGTTAATTTTTTTTTTTCTGTTTATGCATGTCCAGATGTCGCTATAAATTTTTCCTACCCTATGAAAATCAAGTGAATGTATGCTGAGGACCACCTCTTATCGAACCAGTCTTTGTCTGGTACATGATCGAAAGGCTACACAAAGTTGCTTGAAATATGACATTTTTTAGAATTTGTTTGTGCTGTTTAGGTACTGGAATGATAAAGATGTTCTGCAGAAGTTGGGTGAAGCAATGGGTCTTGCTGCTGCAGGAGATGCTGCCGCTTCTGCTGAAAATTCTGTGCCTGATGAGACAGATGAGGGGAATGATGATGAATCCATTGTTCATAATACTGCTAGTGTGGGCGATGTCGAGGTACATTAATTAAGTCTTTCTGTTTTGCTCCTCCTAGGTGCTATTTGTTTGTGGGCCTTGTTTTCTTAGTATGATCATTTTCTGATCTGTTTCCAAAACCTGTTTAGTTTTTAATCTAAAGAAACGAGCTATCATTTTGTTGTTCTAACTATGTCCAATATAGAATTCTATCTTTAATTGGAATCCCAGATTCAATAATTGTGAAATGAATTGAACCGAGTTGTAAACTTCGGCACAAATTACAAAAATGATGTTAAGCAAATGAATATATGAAAGAAAATAAAATATATTAATGACAAATCATAGTATACGAAAATTATAATATAATGATGTGATCACATCTAATTGGAATGGCGTTTGCCTTTATGATAAGAGATATGTGTTCGAATCTCACCGTGATATATTTTCTTTAGCCATAAATTATTTATTCAAATCTGTTAACACATTACACCGTAGAAGCAGATATTTGGAACTATTGACTTCAAGGATACTTTGAAGTTGTGGATGTGTGGACAAATTTCGTATGTTACTTTGTCTGGGGTTAAGGCTACCAATACCTTGGGGAATAATGGATGGTGCATTGACAAGCAGGAATTTTCCTAGAAACTGGATTTAATTGAAACATGGGTAATATTTTCCAGAAATTTGCAGTTTGTATGCAAAAAATCGGTAGTTATTCGTGTTTCTGGTTTTCTTGTGGAGATTTTTTTTGTTGTAGCTTTCTACAAGACTGCTGTAGTAATTGCATACCTCTCTCTTAAATTTGCACCTGTCTCGGTTAATGTATGGTCTCAACCTTGAGTTATATTTTCACCCAAAATTCAAATTGCTGAACTCTGTAACTTCCCTGGTATAGTCCTTTTATGTTGAGCTTAAGTGAGTTTGTAAAATACATTGAGACCATGTTCAGTTGATATGCTTGGTAATTTTTTGTCTAAAAAATAAATCCTTGTATTGAATGAAAGTTTTACTATATCTAATGAATAGGGATTGAAGAACGCACTAGGCTCTGGTGCTAATAAAGATGAGGAAGATTCAGAGGGAAGGACAGGATTGCATTTTGCATGTGGATATGGTGAGGTACAATTGTCACCTGAAGTGAACTCCTTTTATACCTCTGTTATCTTTTTTCCCCTAGGATACATCATGTACTATATTCTTGGGCAAAGGATTCTACTTAGTCAATTGGATTGACAGATTTTTTTTGAGCTGATAGACTGTCAACACAATAATCTCCAAAGTCCCATTAGAGGGGTGTTTACTTCACTGTGCAGAATTCTGAATGGGCCTCAATCCTTTGCTTGATGTGTCCCACATAATATTCTTTATTCCTCCTCCTCCTCCTCCTCTTTTATTTTATTTTTTTAATGTAAAATTCCTTTCCCATAAGGTCATTATTCTTTTTCTTTCTTTTTTCCCTTTCTCCTTTGGCTAGTTGGACCGAGCTTTATAATATCCCTGTTGCTTAGTTTCTGTTTAGTTTGTCAAGGTGTTGCCTTCCCAACTTGTTTGTCATCAACTTTGATGGGCTCCCATTTTCTGTTCTCTCATTCTCTATTATTTAGTTCATTAAAAACAAAGACAAAGAAGCAATTCTGTTTTTGCTGGTGTTTTGTGTTCTAGATGGGGCTTTAAGAAGTTATGAAAAGCTGGTCAAATGTAGAGGAGATGATAATCCTTACTAATAGGTCAACTAGCTTTAGTCTTGGGCCTCTTGGCATTTGCAGTGATATTTGATTGCCCATTAAATAACATAATTGCAATTTTGTTTGTTTATCAAGCTTCATGCGGTTTGTTTTTCCTCCCATCAAAATATAGGCTAAGCAGCAGCTTGTCGAACTTTTTCTTAGCAGAAGCTCCCCAAGACTTCTAGCTTCTTTATTAGGAACTAAGTAAATGCACGTTGTTCCATTCCAGGTCAAGTGCGCCCAGGTCCTTCTTGAGGCTGGGGCACGGGTGGATGCTTTGGATAAGAACAAGAACACCGCCCTTCATTATGCAGCTGGTTATGGAAGGAAAGAGTGTGTAGCACTTCTGCTGGAGAATGGCGCTGCTGTGTAAGTCAACGGCTGTCCTGTCAACAATTATTTGCCTCTTGCAGGTTTTATTACTCATTCCTTTTTCTCCCCTTCTTTGGCATTTTCTTGTTACAGCACTCTGCAGAACATGGACGGGAAGACACCCATCGATGTTGCAAAATTAAACAACCAACACGATGTGCTGAAGCTGCTGGAAAAAGACGCATTTCTATAACTTGGAAGGTTTGTTGGGGGGGGGGGGGGGGGCATGTACACTAGCAGTAGGCTCCCGACTTGTTGCTTTGTCTATCTTATGGTTGCTACTGTTTGATTGCTACATGTTTGGATTATTAGCCAAATTTGCATAAACGATCTTTTCCATGTGACATTTATTTTGTGGAAAGGATTTATGATACGCATATTCGGTGATTACTTCTATGCTTTCTGTAGATGGGCAGCCGAGAAAGACCGAATTAACTGCTTGTATATATATGTGCTTTCAAGTTCAGAGTCAGGATTGAGTATGAAATATCGAACTCAAGTCTTGTTTTGGAGTGCAAAAAGAATTCCTCCAAGTGGGAAACTATTGTTTGTGCATCTTTTGTGATCTGTGTGGAGATGAAAACGTTAATGCCAAAATTTCTAGGGTGTCTATGGGCTGGGTCCTGTTATCCGGCCCAAAAAAAGCCCAAAGCTTGATAAGCTTACCCAAGTTTGAGCCCTAGCCCAAGTCCAAGTGCAAGCCCAAGCACAAGCTTGAGTAGACTCAGGCTTGCCCTTAAACTTATTTCTTGGCCCATGAGCCTGTCCACAAAAATTTGGCCCAAGAGTTTGCCTACCAACCCGTTTATTCTTTCATCCAATTGTTTTAAAAAAAAAAATGGATATAAATAGATATGAGAACCCAATTGTTTGAAAAAATGGAAAGTATAGATATAAATATATATAAGAGAGAGAAAAAGGAAGAAAAAGATGGGAGTGGCGTGGGGGAATACCAGTCAAATCTGTTAATCTTTACAATAAATATGTCTTTTTCTTTACGAAGATCATTTTTTAGTTTGTGAAAAATTGTGGATGTCAAATAAGTTTATGTATAGATTGAACTTATTAAAAGTTTCCTAAAGAGGATTTAACTTCAATTTTCACTTAAAAAAAATTTAACCACTGAAACTTTGAAAGTTTTGTGGCAATATTTGAACCTAGTTGAAATGTGTTTATTCTATTGTGATGAAGTTCTTTTTCTATTCATAAATAATATTATTTATTGTTTATTTTTTTGTTTATTTTGACTTTATTTTTAATTCAAAATTATAATTTATAAAAATATTAAGTTAAAATTGTTTTATTTGAAATTGTATATATATACAAAGGCCCGCTCAATAGATCTGCCCGTAAGGTCGTCCAATGAGTGGCAGGCTAGGCTGTATGTAGCTGATCCTTACTCGAAGTTTAGCCCGCCCGCCTGCCTGATAACTCGCCTGAATAAAGACTTGAGTTTATTTTACCCAGACCCACCTCAAAAAAGATTTTACGAGCCTAACCTGAGTCAGCCCATAGACACCCCTAAATATTTATGTGACTCGATTATGGGGATGCTGCTCTTGGGACAAGGCTTGTTTGACACGGAGATAACAAGTTTGGGTTGAGCTTAGCTGATTGGGGTGGTAAAATGACAGATAAACTTGGTTATACGTCCATATATGACACAACACGACATGCCTTAGACATAATACAAATTTGACTTAGACACAATATAAATCTAGCATAATACGGTCCATTGATAGTCTTTTTGGGGATATGCAATTCCTTTGTTAAATGCTGCCAGAATTTGATTTTATGGTGCAGCACATGAAGTTGTTTATCACAATATCATGTGGATGCGACCCTTCCTTCCCTAAAGTATATTGTAGCATGGCGAATTATGGCTCTACCACTGTTGGCAACATGCAAACAAAGCTATTAAACAATTCGGACAGTTTGGGTTTGACTCGGTTTTGGTGCTTTCAGACATTGCAAAATGAATTAAATCTAACTAAATTTGTGAGTTTGTTTTGTAAACAAATTGAATTTGAGTAATGCGTGGCTTGGTTTAAATAGATTATTGTATACAAATAGTTCTTATTCTGTTGCCAAACACCTTCTATTCAATAGATGAAAATTTTTAAACTTATTCTCAATAATAGCTCCAATTAAGCTTGAGATCAAGTTCTAGTGTTTAAATTTTTAAATAGTTTTGCTGTGAAATTAAACTCGGGTTTAACTTGAATGCTCCCATGGTTTTTTGTCAAACTAAACTTAAGTAAGAATTTATGTTCTCCAATTGAGCTCAAGCTCGAGTTTGGCCAGTCACAACTTAATTAGTATTAAACAGTCTCAAACTTAACAAATTCGACTTGATTATAGGATATATTTATTATTGCGTGAAATTGAGTAAAAATATAATTAATTGCTTAAAGTATATATGTGTAATAGGCCCTTCGAATTGGAGGATTAAAAAGTACAATAAACTATCGAAGCTGAGAAATAAGGAAATTTGAAAGCCCATTAGAAATGTTTTGCTTAGGTTAGTACAGAGTTGTTATAATATTGCTTTACTTTAGGGGTCATCATAACATTATTCTAATTTGGGGGAGTATTTTTAATTTATTTGGTATAAAGTTTGGTGTACTATTTGGTGTGTGGCAAAAATAAAAAATTTTAATGCTACACTTATCAAATTTTTACACCAAATTATGGATCAAAATTCTTTCCTTTAATTTGTTTTCCTAAAATAGATCAATAACCTATACGTTTATAAGTGCTTCCTCTAACTATATATGGTAGGTGATTAGCACTTGCAAAAAAAAATATCACAGTGGATCTCACTCTTCAATGATGTAGTACATTTAGCATGCACATAAACGTAATCAATTCTATTTCTACCGTTTTTTTTTTTTTTTTTTTGTAATTTTTCCACCCAAATTATTCATAATATCACCATTCTTTTCATAAAAACATCTTTTAAATCCATGCTTTTTATTGTAAAATCATATTTTAAAAATATATTTCCAACTAGAATTCTATTGCAAATGTTTTCAAAACATATTTTTATGTGTAAAAGTGTATTTGAAAATGTATTTTCATGAAAAAACAACGTAATAAATATATGGCCCCGTATTAAAATTAAATAAGGGTAATATTATCTTAAGAGTCCTCCTAGGATGAATAAAATAACGGTAAAAACTTAGAATCATCGGAGAAAGATTGATCATGAAGTTTGACTTTCAAATGTATTGACTTTCGGCTTAAATTACATTTTGGAAATGTTTAAACTCGAGATGAGTGGCTAAGTAATTTTATAAAAGTTTTTACATCGAAATAAAGTTTTCATTGAATCTACAAGGTTGAAAAACCTTGGGAGAGGTTCTATGGGTGTATTCAAAGTTTGGAAGTATTTAGGAGTTCAAACCAATTTTGGAGAGGTTTTGGGTAGAAATTAGACTTCAAGAGCTACAAAAGTGTATTTCACAAAAATTTTGTGAATCAACATCTAACAAGGTTAAAATTGAGTTGGAAGTCGTGGGCAGACTGTCAATCGCATTCGGACTGGAATTTTTTGTTTTTCAGCTTATAAATATCATGGGGCCATAATCTAAAGTGTCTTTACTTATTTTTCAACCACAAAAAGTCTAGGAAATTTTGAGAAGAAGAAAACGAGGAAGAACGGCTCTTGAAGGATTAACGGGTTGTAATCACAACAAAACAGGTTAGAATCAAGAATTAACGAATTAAAGATAGGGGTTCTTTCTCACATTCATTCATTGATGATTAGGGTTATATAATATAACTTTTTCATCCTTATTATGATATAAATAATTGATTTACAATGTTTTTATATTCGTTTGAATCCATGATTTATTTCTTGAACAAAATACATGACTTACTTTTAAGATCTATCCGTTCTTAATTTAAAAATCTAGTTCTTGACTCATAAATTCTTGAATAAACATATTATTTATATCAAAATATATGTTTTACATCCAAAAATCATATGTTCTTGATTGAAAAACCCTAGCTATTGATTTATAACCTAATTTACACATATTTTATATCAAAATTTAATGTCTTGATTACCAAAACTTTAGTTCTTGATTACTATCAATTCAAAGATGTTTTCTTGAATTATTCCTCTGGAAAAAGTTATAGATATATGATTTTTGATTGTAGTTGAATTTTATAATTTTTTTTGAAAATTATCTTTTGTATGCACGGGTACGATAAACGTGAATTGCACTCAAACCTATATCATAGAGTGTTTAGATGTTGTTTCTCACTTTGAGGGGTTCAAAATTTTTCTATCACTCGTAATGGGGTTGATACCTTGCGAGGACCAAACCATTATTCATTTACGGTTATCAAGGTTGGGGGTTAGTATACCAATTCTCGGCAGAATTCATCATTGTTGGTGCGTCGATATATGCCTTTCCTAATGTTTTATGGCTCTATGAGAATTAATTTGTTGGTTTGTGATTGTGGTGTGGACCAGATATGTTTGTTGTGTAATTTCATGCAAGCTACCTGTGTACATAAGATATAAATGTGTTGATTATCTATTATTTTGGGAATTGATTCTACTCGTTTATGAACTTTCCTGTTGGCACGTAAACTTGAGATCTCATTAATTGTCACTGTTTTTTCAAAATTATATATATTATTTTACAAACTATGACTTAATTCTTTTCATTGGGATGTTGAGGTGGATCATGATGCTAGATGTAAAAGTTGAGAATGATTTTTAGTCTATGAAGTTTAGATTTGATGGTTTATTTATGTTAAGGATTTATTTATATTTTCTTTGGGGATTTATCTAATTAGATATTGGATGATGAATGATTTTATTTATTTAATGATATTTTAGCATGCTCTTATGATTCAATGTTTATAGATAATTAATGCCTTACTGGGTGGATTTTAGGGCATTATAATATATATATATATATATATATATATATATATATATATATATATATATATATTGATTGACAACGATATTTTTACTCTTAAAGGGGGGAGGATGGGAGCCGGAAAGAGAAATTGAACATTGACTTGTCACTCTATTGTAGACCAATTTTATTTTTAAAAATTATAATTTTTATCATTTTTAATTATAATTTCTACTTCAAAAAAATATAATTTAACTTTAAAAATTATACCCCCAAATACTATTGTGTCTTCAACAGTCTCATAGTCTCTCCC